AATGTTAAGATTTTTTTCCACTACAGAATTTTCTTATTCTTATCATGATTTTTGACAATAGGTAATTTTCCATTCCCTCAAACTAGAGTGTAGAGGATTCTCTTTTGTAGATGTATAGCTCAAAAACACGTGAAGGTGTTGCTGTCCACTGTCAGATAAAATGAACCCAGTCTTAGAAAAAGCCATTCCTATTAAAGAAAGAAAAAAGAATTTCCTTTCTTCTGCTGGTTTAACAGTGCCAATTTAGTATAATGAATATCTCCAAATAAAGATGAGTGCGCTGAGTGATGAGAATGTGATGGCATTTACAGATTATCTCCCCAGTCCCTCTTTTCTTCCCTACCATTTACATAGCTATAGGGTGACTCCTGGCAACCATGTTCATCAGACAACACCCTTTGGCCCAAGTTGATTGTGTCAAGGTAAACATCTGCTAATCCTGGAAATCTGGAATGGTGAACGGGGTGGGGAGATGCGAGAAGACTGGGATTGATTTCATCTTTCTCAAGGTGGCTCAATCTGTGACATAAACTTGGTTGCTGTCTTTGGCCATGTTTTTATCCATGCAGAATGAAGCAAAGGAAGACTGGTGGCTGAGAGGAGGTAATGAATCAGAAGTGCAGAAATGAGTATACACAGGAGTCGAGAGAATGTTTCTAGCTCCATTCTCGTCCTTAAGTTAGCCCTGTATTCTTCTAATATATTCCTCTTTTTTGTTAAACTCAGGCAGGGTTTTGTTTATTAAAAAAAGAGTTCAAATACAGAAATAGTATAGTGATATAGTCTAAGGATTAATTAAGGAAATAAGGAAAGATTTAACTATACAGCTATTGATCAGCGCATTTAAAACATTTAACAGAGCATTTAAACATTTAACAGAAATGGATTACTACCTCTATAATGTACCCAATATAAACCATGTTGTAGGGTAATATTAGTATAAGATGATAAGTTTATGATACATGCTAATGAAAAAAGTAAATCTGAGATTCTGTCCTATATAATCAACATTTTGTTTTTAATTATTCATATATTGGCATATCGGAAATTGTGGCATTGCATAAACTACAATGTCAGTTGTAGCACTCTCTGAACAGTGGAATTGCAAAACTTTAATTTCCCCTCCTTTTCAAAAAATCTCACTATCAGTAAGGAACTTGCATTTCTTGTACATTAAGAACAAAGAAAGTTTAACATCAAAAGCAAAATTAAAATATGTGGAATGTTTGTCAGTCCACAAGTTCAGTAAAACTAAAAGCTGTAAAGGTTTAAAAAGAGAGAGATCTTGGCATTTGCTTAATATCAAGTGAAATCAGATCATATGATGGTCGTGAGAATGTGAAACAAGGAAAAAAAAACCTCCTGCAAGTGCATTATAGTTTGATTGTCATAGTTATATTGTGCAGATAAACAACAGGTTTATAAAAACTAATTGTATAAACAGTATGTGGTTTGTAAGGCTCGCTCATTCTCTGTGGGCAACTAGCCACTGTCTCTAATCTCACTCATACAGTAACTATTTAATCCAAAGTATAAATCCAACAGATAACAAGCATACCCTGGAGGGACGAAGTATGCTAAAATCTAAGCACACAGTGATAAACTGTCATTTATATTTGAAGGAGATGGTTGAAAAGGACCAAAAAGAAAAAAATGTAATGAAAAAGTAGAAAATGATCAGATTGTATACTGAAAACATTTTTGCAGAAACAGATTAACTAAACCATGATTCATTCAAATATAAAACATCAAAATGAAATTCTCTCTAAATACCTGCATGGCATCTCACCCTTTCTAACCTTTTTTATACCAAAGAACCTCAATCACAAGATGGGGTTGGCAGTATTTCAGAAATGCTATTCAACAGTACAAAATCCTTTTTTTGGAAACTAGGATTAGCTTAACACAAATATGGGTATGTAAAAGTAGGCACTGAGTTATGCAATATTTATTCAAGTGGAATTCTTCCAATATTTTCTGGAAGAGAGGTACTTTTCAATAATGCCATCCTGTAGACCAACATTGTAGAGGAAGTGCTTATGAGTATTCATTTTTTTTCAAACGAGTGTTCTTAAGAATAAAAAGGCATTAAAGTGTGAGAGCAATGTAAGTCCCAGATTTTTTATGTACTTAATGATTAATTTCAATAAAGTTTATTTAGAAATAAAATAAGCTCAGGGTTTTGTTGGTTTTTTTTAATATGGAAGTTCTCCCCATTACCTTTTTTCCATTTATTAAATTCTGAAAAAAGTTACTTGAATCTACAAGCTTCTAACTTCTCTCTTTCAATTCACCCATAGCAAGCTTGTTGCATTTCAAGGGTGAATTGTCTCCACCTTCATCATCTGTACAATAAGCTATCTACATTACTGTCTCGATCTCTTCATTCTGTGTTACCTATTTCAGTCTGGTCTCTGATCTGATGGTAGAATTGAACTATATGTTCTCTCCCACCATTACACATAGCCCTAAACTCCTATTTTCCTGAGTTCCTATTTTCTATTAGTTTTTCTTTTTCCTCTTGACTCCTGAAATCTGATCATTATCTGAAATTCAGTCTATAGCCCACTGGTCATCTCTTCACAAAGTCTTCTTTTAGAGACTCATTCATTCTCAGGATCTCAACAGTCAAAATGATTCCTAAATCTTAGTGCCAACTGCCGGCTGGGTATTACCATTATGTTCTGGCCCCATCTAGAGTAGAACACATCAACTTGCTCTATAAGCTGACTGTTCTCATTCTTTACTATTTTATTACTGGGTTCTAACAATTCTTTCATAGAGTCTCTGAAATCCATTTCTTGATTTCTCTTTGCAATTACTTGTCTTAGGCTATGGCCCTATCATCACATGGATTTCTCCTTGCCTGCTGTCTGACATTGGTCCCTCAAAAGAAGAGCTAAGACACAGGCTTGTATATTGATAGTGTACATGGGCAGTGATCCCAAGGAGCATGATTGAAAGGCCGAGGGAGTGGGATAGAGAAGGAGGGAGAGCCACTCCAACGATGCCTATTGAATTGGCCACCATTGTATGTAACTGATGCTAAGTCTCACCAGGATCTACTAATGGGCTTTATGAAATGCATCTCTGAAAATTCACCTGGGGGATGAAAGAAGGAAATATTTACTTATAAGATCCTGTCCCCCATTGATTAAAGATGGCTCTACTGGCAATAACTCGCCTGCACTTCCTGATTGCACATGCATAAGTCCGTGCATTTCCACTGGCCTTCACTATGGCATTAGAGAAGCCCTGGGCAGGAAGTAGTAGGTAAATGTTTTGAGCTTACGTGAGTATTGTCCAATTGCACCTACAAGACATGGCACAAAGGGAACTGAGTGGCTTATAAAAGCACAAGATATGTCTTATTTAATTTGTGGTGTGTCTCTCTTGTCTCTTCAGTGGGACTCTAAATATCTCAGAGGCATATATTCAACTAGTAGAGAATTTTACTAACACTACCACCCTCTCCTGGCTCTGCCCCCAATATTGATGCCAAGGCACCCCCCCACCACACACACACATACACACTGTTTTTAAAGTTTGTATTTTGAATTGTTTTCTCATGATGTTACTGTGTTCCTGTTATCTGGCTTCCTTAAGATCATGGCACATCTATGGAGGGAGTCTGGCTAGTTTAGCAACACAGTCACTGGCTGAAGAAATAAAGAAAGGGAGTGGACTACCTAAAGCTGGAACACTGGACTCATTAGCCCTCACATTCCAGCCAACCAACCTAGTAGCTTAAGTAACTAACCTAGTAACTTAAGGTCAGTTTTCATTACATTTTCTTATTTTTACATCCTACAGCTTAGACAGACATTTTTTGCATTCCTTCTTTAATCTAGTCAATCACAATGGTCTGGAAGACTTTAACAGTTGTGTATAAGTTCAAGTTATAATGATGCTCAAACATGTTTATATCCTACACACCAATAATGTTTATTTCTAAAATGTTCTAAAATTGAATAGAGAGAAAATACTAAACAAGCAATTCTCCAATGAAGACATACAATGGCAAATAGGCACGTGAAAAAATGCTTAATATCGCTAATTATCAGAGAAATGCAAATCAAAACTACTGGTATCACCTCACACCAGTCAGAATGGCCAGCATTAAAAAGTCCACAAATAATAAAAGCTGGAGAAGGGGTTGAGAACAGGGAACCCTCCTACACTGTTAGTGGGATTGTAGTTTGGTGTAGCCATTATGGAAAACAGTATGAAAACTTCTTAAAAAACTAAAAATAGACTTATCATATGATCCAGAAATCCCACTCCTGGGCATATATCCAGAGGGAACTCTTCACCCCAATGTTCATAGCAGCACTATATACATTAGTCAAGACATGGAAAAACCTTAATGTCCATCGACAGATGACTGGATAAAGAAGTTGTAGCATATTTACACAATAGAATACTACACAGACATAAAAATATTAAAAACGCCATTTGCTGCAACATGGATGGACCTGGAAATCATCATTCTGAGTAAAGTAAGCCAGAAAGAGAAAGAAAAATATTGTATCACTTATATGTGGGATCTAAAAACAAAAGACACAAATGAACTTATATACAAAACAGAAAAAGACTCATAGACGTAGAAAACAAACTTACAGTTACTAGGGGAGGAAAGGGGTGAGAAGGGATAAATTGGGAGTTTGAGATTTGCAGATACTATCTACTATGTATAAAATAGATATACAAGTTTATACTGTATAGCACAGGGAACTATATTCAATATCTTACAGTAACCTGTAGTAAAAAAGGATATGAAAACAAATACATGCATGTATGTGTATGACTGAACTATTATGCTGTACACCAGAAATTGACACAACGTTGTAAAATGACTACACTTTAATAAAAAATTAAATAAATGAATAAATAATCCCAGTTCTATTAAGAAAAAGAAAAGGGAGAAAATAAATTCACCTTCTTTACCCATTGAGTACATTCATTTAACATTCATAGAATTTATTAAGCTCTTTACTTACCTGTCGGTGGTTTTCAAATGTTGAAGATGAAGTTAGCAGGATACCTCTCCCAGCAGAAACTTGCGGCATTCTTTTGACCTGAAATAAATGTCCTTTATTTTTAAGGGAAAAAAAGTTCAAGAATTTGAAAAACGTATTCATTCACTTAAAAACTGAGCATGCTACTGTGAAAAAGCACACAGTAGTCCCCCTTACCCGCCATTTTGCTTTACACAGTTTTCGTTACCTGTGGTCAACTATGATCCAAAAATATTGAATGGAAAATTCCAGAAATAAAAGAATTCATACGTTTTAAATTGCACAGCACTTGGGGTGACATACGAAATCTTGTGCTGTCCTCTTCTTGCCGGGGATGTGAATTAGCTCTTTCTCTAGCATATCCTGCCCATCAGTCATTTACTAGCTCTCTGGTAGCAGTTTCGCAGTGCTTGTGTTCCAGTGGCCCTTATTTTACTTAATAATGGCCCCAAAGCACAAGAATAGCAATGCTGGCAATTTAGATATACTTGTATTGTGCCTAACTTACAAATTTAACTTTATCATAGTATATATAGGAGAAAACCTAGCTTCTTTATGTAGTGTTCTGCACTATCCGCAGTTTCAGGCATCCACTAGGGGTCTTGGGACACATTCGTCGTGGATGATGGGGACCACTTTGTAAGATCTTGTTCATCACTTCAAAAACAAGTGTTTAGTGTTCTACCAATAAAAAATTAAATATACTCTCTGCAAAATTACAAACAAAAAACTTAGAAACATAAAAGCATCTGTAATCACACCAAGATGTCTCTAGCACTTCTTTGGTGGAGTCCTCTTCAAAATGTTTTCATGGGAATAAATTGAAGGTTTAAAAAATTCAAGAATCTCTATTCAAGTAGACGCCACAATTTCTAGTCATCAGGATTATGTCTTATTTTCCATGGTATTTACCCCAACAGCTGACACAAATGGGCTAATAAAAATGTTTAGGGGGCAGTTCATAAGTCTCATTAAAAACTAGACCAAAACAAACTATATTAATAAGCTCAATTCCCCAGAGTGTCTGCTGTTAAGTGAGACATTTAGAAAGCTGTCACATTAACCCCTTCTGATCATAAAGGGATGTTTACCAATTTTAAATAGAGTTTCTCTATGTACACCACAAGATGATAAATTTTGGCGTTTAATTGGGAATGGAATTTGGCGGTACAGGCAAGAAAGACTGATACTTATCTGGTTTTTGAAAATCAAGAAAGTGGTATCATTTGAAGCATACATGGTGCTGATGTCAAATTCTCAACATTCTTTCCTATTACCTTAACCAGAGGCATAAGACAGAGATTGATTTATCATGTCAGTGACTCATTTTCACATATGAGAAAAAGTGCCTATACTGGTAAAATTATCATTTTTAACATTTCTGCCAGAAGATTGAAAACAAAGCCCATTATTATCCCTATGTTTGAAAATTACATAGCACTTCCCTTCAGAAAAATTTGTTTTCCGTAAGTTATTTGTACGCTGGATATGAACAGTTAGCCTTTTTTAGTTTTGAATATTTTCCCTTCTAATCTAGTATTAAAAGGGAGATTGATACATCTATGGGGAAAAGAATCTTTCCTTCTCTCCATCTTTGTACCCTCCGGACTTAAAACAAGTATTTCCAATCTTCTTCAAAATGTGAATTTGAGTCCCATGTTTGTAAAACTAAGTAGTTTTGCCCTTAAGTAAATGAAGCTGGCTTTATGTTGACAATAATTTTTGCTATAGTTCTACTGTGCAGTCAAGTTTTTTTATGAAAGGAGAGAGCAGATCCTTTGAGTTAAGAGATAAAAAAAGTAATAAGTCTGACATAGGAGGCCTCGGTAATGAATGATGGTACCATTAGAATCACTTCTGTGTGACCAGATATCTACGATAACAGAATTCAATCTTGGTCCTCAGTCCCTGGCACTGGTAATTATTTAGCTGAACTTCTGCCTTAGTCCTGGTTCTCATTCTGCTTCAATACTCAGAAATAAATAAGAATCCTGTTCAGCCTGTGTCAAGCTCCTGTACTGAGGCTTGGTGTCACCTCTCTCCTTGAATAGCAGGTATGTAAGGAGGACCAGGTCATGCAGGTGTGACTTCTGGTCTGATCCAAGGCCAGCTAGCTGCTTTACCTAGAATCCATGTTGAATAGCTTTTATATCAAATGCTCTGTACTAAGATGGTGGATCATCAGTCATTAAGAAGTCAATCCTCCTCATGACTTCTCTGTCTTGTGAACAATTGGCTTTATCCCAGTCACTCCTAAGAGGGCCGAGTTGTTCAGACAGGTTTTCAAACTATCCTTTGTCAGCTGGAGAAAATAAGATGCTATGGGATAAATGTCCAACAGCATACTATGAGAAACTACAAATACTCATCAGGATCTCTAAGATCCCATGAAGCAGGAAAAATATGTGCTAATTAGCTTCAATCACTAATTAGTAGTACTTTTCAATAAGAGGTGCCTCCTTTTTAAATTACATATCTCAAAACTTGACAAAAGCCATTTTTTCAAAATAAGGCTTAAAATTATGGAGTTAGTTATCAGGTAATTTGAATTGTACAGTAAATCACTGGGAAAATCCAGGCTAATTGACTGTATAACCCCTCAGTTACGTTGGCAATTTAGAAAAATTAGGGCTTCCTACCCTAAGTTACTCAAGTAATTATGGTTATAGACCTGAACTATTGTATTTTTATTGTAAATAGTGTTCTGATTTGAGTTGGCAATCTTCTAAGTGACATCTTAGAGCTCAACTTCCTTCTTAGGAAGATAGAAACTTTAGAAAGAGCTCTTTCAGAAGCCCTCGCACTGTACTAGTTGCCAGTAAACCAGGAGCAAACTCCTCATCCACAAAGATGGATCCTAAAGTTGAGTCTATTCTGACATTCATAGACACAATTCTACTTTTCCAGCAAGAAAAGACTTATCAAATGCAAACATTGCTTTAAGAGAAGTTAATGGTTTATTTAATTGAAAATATTGAAATTTATTGTTAATAATCATATTTCCCAAGGCTACCAAACTAACTCTTTCTTAAGCATTTTGTCAGGCTGTTTCGTTAACTAAATGGATGTTCACCTTATTTTATTCAAGTCTACTGTAGAATCACTGAGGGGTTCTTAGCACTAGGATTCACTCCCCCTGGTGGTCCAATAAATTGTAAACTTACTAGCCTTCAGCAAATGGCAACAAATATTTTTCTCTTGGCAACTTTGAATACAAAATGAAATAATGCTTCCATGTCAAATGACCAACTCTACTTTTTTCAAACACATTTTCATAAACAAGCTATAGTACATATTTTTAGAAACTAGTACATAATTCTATAAATAGTTATACCAATCGTTTAATATCATAATAATAAATAAAACTTTTAACAACAAATAAAATAGCAATTACCAAGTTAAAATAGCAATTACCAAGTTAAAATAGCAAATTAATAAGCCTGTTTATACTCCACTGCGTGTGTATAGAGAACACCTAAAATATTTTTATTGTGATAATGCTTTCCCAAGCAAAGTAAACCAAATATATATCTGGTGATTTTAGGCAGAAGAGAATATTGGCAATTTATATGTTTCAAGCCAATTTGAAGAGAAGTTACATACCTTCTGTAAGCAATACAGCCTAATGTCCAAATCTTCCGACCTATCCTAAACATATTAGAATTTTGCTCACTCCAATTACAAAGACCAATTACAAAGACATTTAATGTTATCAAATGGCAAAAAAGATAACTATTGATAAGATGCATTTTCCCCACTAACTCATAGGGTACAATAAATGCTAAGCATTTGTAAACAACTGATGACATGAGAGGATCACAAAAGTAAAGATATCATTTTTCTGTTTCTTCTCTGTGAGTCAAGAAGCCAAATGAAATGAAGAAAATATGGAGGAAAAAAAAAACCCTGAAAAACCCCCGTTTGAGTGACATCCCAGAACATCCTCCAGAGGCCAGGTAGGAGGTAAAAATGGTAGGAACAGATCATAGCAGATATTAATTTTCTTGCGTCACACAAATTATTTAGGACAACTGCTAAGAATTCTAAGGTAAGTTTAACAATCAAGAAGAAATTGATTTGTAAAAGTTACATTGAGAATTTAATTGAATATAAGCAAAAGGAGATTAATCAACAATTAAATAACTATGCTGATCCAGGAATTAAGCAGACTGGCTGAAATCTATTAAATAGTTCAATGTTAGAACTAAAGAGCACCATCATTTCCCACCTGCTGCTGGTGCCAAGGCAGAAAGACTAATTTTCACATATTAGTAATAACAGCAAATACTTCTGGAGTGCTATGCTAAGAGTTTCATGAGCTTCACCTCAATGATTCTCACAGCAACCTGCTGAGACTCACTCAGACTCCCAGAGTTGGTAAGAAGATAATTTGAAGCTAAAGACATTTGAGATTTAACAGATTTAACAGATGCAGAAAGATACCTTTACAGAGCTTCTCTTATCAAAATAAAGGCAGAAACTTCTGGGAGTGAGGCTGCCATAAATCCCCTCTCCAAGGGAATTTTACCAGCCAGAGAGAAGATGGAGATGAGTACCTGCCCCTGCATAAACAAACATTATCACAGACTCTCTTAGTTCCCATTTGTTCCCATAGAAACTCTTTTGTTCTTCCCATAGAAAACTTTTCTCCCCTTCCCTACCCCATATGAAGTTAGATATATAAACCCTTGTCTTTAGCTGTTTGGAGAGTCACATTTTCCCTTGTGCTCCCATGTACAGTTGACTAAAAGCTGTTTTTTCTCTTGCTAATCTTCTCTTGTCAGTTTAATTCACATGTCCTCGGTTACTGAACCCAAGAGGGTAGGAGAAAAGTTTTCCTGTGACAAATCCTGCAGTGTAAGTAATTTCGTCTTCATTGCAGACATGAGAAAACTTAAGACTCATAGAAATTAGGAAACTAGACCAAGTTCACTGAATCAGAGAAATCGAGATTCAAAGATAAGGCTATATATTGCTCTAGAGTATATATACTAGTTATCAATTCATTAAACTGTTCTTATTGAGTCTAGAGGTTCCAACAGTCCCTGTAAACTGTCAAAACATAAAAGCAATTCTTCCAAGACCTCACCATCGATGTCTTAATTCTAAATGTTTTGATATTTACCAGGAGGGACATTATTTGGATGGCTGCAAATTTGACCCAAGTTATTCAATAAAAACAAAGATAAATAAAGCATTTAACTTTATTTTACTTTTTTCACAAACTTGTTTCTAAGATTGGTATGTTTAATTCTTTGTAAGAAATTCCTTACATACAATTGGAAAACTGACTCAGGGTGAAAGAATCTAGCATGAATAAGAATGTATTGGTCACATGTTACAATGAGGAAACTGCGCAGACAATACACAGGACCTAGAGCAGTCAGAGACTAGTATCTCTGAAGTCCTAGATATGTTTCAGCTTTGCATAGATGAAGAAACTGCCCTAGGACAGCCATTACTAATGGCTATGATGGAAGACAGCTAGCCAGGGTCAGGGAGAACCAGCTGCAGCTCAGAGGATGAGGGTTAAAGGAGGAGTAACCTGGGTATGTGGGTGGGAGGGGAGTAGGTGGGAGAGGAGTAGGATGGAAGTGCAAAGGTAGAAAGAAAGCCTTTGTGATGGACACAGAAAAGCAAGCAACCTGCAAAGCACTGGAGTAGGTAGCACCACCAAGCTAATTGTTACAGGAAACCAGAATAAATATTACTACCCTCTCCAGTGGAAACAATCGGGATGAACTAACATGGATAGATTTCCAGGATATTTTTAAGGAAAAAAATCAAGTAACAAAACAATATATGTAATACAACAGCACTGTTTTTGTTTTTAAAAACTCACAAAGAGGTATATATTTCACATGGGTACATAAGAATATTCATCTATAAATGCATAATAAGAAGACTGGAAAGCTATTGTGGAAATCAACAAAGATCACCAAATGAGAACAATCAAAGTGATATGGGAAAAATGAAGGGAGGCCACTAGAGATTGGCTGTGTCCCAGGTCCCAGGTGAGTCCCTGGGATATGTCCCATCAAGTGAGGGTCCTTGGCTTTGTGCAGGAAATAATTCGAGAATGAGCCACAGTTGAGTAAAAGTAGATTCATTTGGAGAGATGTACACTCCATAGGCAGAGTGCAGGCCATCTCAGAAGGCAAGAGAAAGGTCTAGAAGATACCCATTCTGTAGGCAGAATGCGGGCCATCTTACTCAGAAGGGAGAGCAGTGGACTCAGAGCCTGGGGTTGGCTAGGAAAAATGAGATTGATGGTGAGGTGTGGGGGTTGTTAGTTTTATGGGCTCAGTAACTTCATATGCTAACAAATGGGAGCATTATTCCAACTACTTTGGGGAAGGGGCTGGGATTCCCAGGAACTGAGCCATTACCCACTTTTTGACCTTTTATGGTCAGACTTGAAACTGTCATGTCTCCTATGGGAATGCCATTTAGTATGCTATTTTTATTGCATGTCAATGAGCATATACTGAAGCTCAAAGTCTACTGGGAGTTGAATCTTCCACCATCTTGGTGCTAATTGCTGTGTCATCTTTTTTAATGGCTGTGCCCTGCCCCCTTCCCTCCTGTCTCAAAAGGCTATTTTAAATAGGGCTTGCTATAGAAAGGGAGTCAGCCACCATCACTGATGTTTGGCAGAGGCTCGAAGACAGGCAGGGGAGTGGTAAAAAGAAGCATTGCAGTGAAAAAAAAAGGGAAGGCTTCAGGTATTCTGTGATTGGAAATTGTTGGCATGAAAAGCTAGAGGTGGGCTAACTAGAAGCAGGGGTATCTTAAGTGATCGGTTTAGGGAGCATATTTGGCTTTCTCTGGTTAGCCCTGAATTGGAAACTGACAGTCATTGATCAAACTCTGACACTTCTGGACCAACTGTTGGTTGCTAGAGAGACTGTATGTCAGAGTTCTGGTGATACATGCAGTCTGGCCCTTGTTCATTTGTATATTCAGTCCCTCACTATGCACCATGCTGACATGAGCGGTTACCATTGGCAAGGTGGGAAAAGTATGGTCATCAAAGACTAAATTCCTTATCTGTAATGTTTTACTTTTTTATAAGAGGAATACATTTACTCCCTTTTTATTTATGCAATTTTTTAAAATCCTGAAGCAAAACTGCAGAAGGATGATAGTTGTCAGTTCTAATTCTTACAACACTGCAAGATGGGAGGAAACTAAGGCATGTTAATTAAGACTTTATAAAGGTATATTTACCTCTGGCTTAAGGAATGCAAACCAACACTCGAAGAGCTGAACTCTCCTCTTTAAATCTTTATTTAGAATCACAGGCTGTCATGATCTACGCATTAAAAGAAAAAGTAATGTTGATATTAGGTAATGACAGTACTCACATGAGACAACAGATTATTACCTACAAATATTTTTGCTATTTTCTTCCTTGAATATTACTTCAATGACTTACACAACAATCTAGTGGCTCTCAACACTTAAATACCCCATTAAAATCATCTGAAGAGCTTAAAAAATAATACTGAATGCCTAACCCCCTCCTCCCTCCACCTTCTACTCAAGAAATTCTGATTTAATTGCTCTAGGGTCAAGTCTCCGCATCTTTATTTTTAAAAAGCTCACCAAATGATTCTAACTTGCAGCCTGAATTAAAAAGCACTGCTATGGATTGTAAAAATTAATACACAGAAACCTTAATTAAAATAGAGTCAAGAGGCTGGCGTCTTGCTCATGGCTCACCCTGTTTCTAGAATCCAAAATGCAATTCTTTTGTTGATCCCAAATAAAGCCATTCTTGCTGGAGAAATAACTGGTGGTCTATTTGTTTTAGGTCAGTAAGACCAAGGCAGTTGAAATGAAAAGGATTTCATGATGCAGTTGTTCAGTGTGTTTGCCAGCTGCCATCCCTTTGGGGAATCACTGTCTCCTTTGCCAAGAGGTCCTGGCAAGGCTGACTTTATCCCTATCCACCAACAGCCAGTCCCAGTGATGTGCACATGACCCAGTACAGAGTAATCCAGAGCATGGCAGTGACCTCCCTGAGAAGTTTCTGTCAGTTAATGGGAAGTGTAGAAGATTAAAAAATGTTTTTCCTCTATCCATCTTAGGTTCAATGCCTGGGGTTTAGATGGACAAAAGACAACAAGAGAAAAACAAACAGAAGTTTATTAACACATGCTTTGCACATATACACGGGAGAGTTCAGTGATGAATAAATAACTCAAAGAGATGTTTTGAAGCGGGGCTTACATAGCCTCTTTTTTTTGAATCTTATATTTTACTGAACTGTAGTTGGTTTACAATGTTAGTTTCAGGTGTATAGCAAAGTGATTCAGTTATACATATACATACATATATATATATATATACACATATATATATATATTCAGTTTCTTTTCCATTATGGCTCATTACAAGAAATTGAATACAGTTCCCTGTGCCATACAGTAGGTCCTTGTTGTTTATCTATTATATATATATATATATTTATATATATATAAAATACATATCTGTTAGTCCCAAACTCCTAATCTATTGCCCCACCTTCCTTCCTGTCTGGTAACTACAGTTTGTTTTCTATGTCCTTGAGTCTGGTTTATAAATTAAATTTGTATCTTATTTTTTTTTTTTTAGATACCACATATAAGTGACCTCATAGATATTTGTCTTTCTCTATCTGACTTACTTCACTTACTATGATAATCTTAAGGTTCATCCATGTTGCTGCAAATGGCATTATTTCATCCATTTTTATAGCTGAGTAATACTCTTTATCCAGTCATCTGTTGATGGACATTTAAATTGTTTTCATGTCTTGGCTACTGTAAATAGTGCTGCTATGAACATTGTGGTGCATGTGTCTTTTTGAATTATAGTTTTCTCCAGATGTATACTCAGGAGTGGGATTGCTGGATCATATAGTAAGTCTATTTTTAGTTTTTGAAAGAACCTCTGTACTGTCCTCCATAGAGGCTGCACGAATTTACATTCCCACCAACAGTGTAGGAGGGTTCCTTCTTCTCCACATTCTCTCCAGCATTTATTATTTGTAGATTTTTTAATGATGACCATTCTGACTGGTATGAAGTGATATCTCATTGTAGTTTTGATTTGCATTTCTCTATTAATTAGTGAAACTGAGCATATTTTCATGTGCCTGTTGGCCATTTGGATGTCTTTGGAGAAATGTTTATTTAGGTATTCTGACCATTTTTTAATTGGGTTGCTTATTTTTCTTATATTAGGCTATGCAAGCTGTTTGTATATTTTGGAATTTAGTCCCTTGTCAGTTGCATCATTTGCAAATATTTCCTCCCATTCTGTATATTGTCTTTTTGTTTTGCTGATGGTATCCTTAGCTGTGCAAAAGCTTTTAAGTTTAGTTAGGTCCCATTTATTTATTTTTGCTTTTATTTCCATTACTTTAGGAGCTGGTTTCAAAAAAATAGTGCTGTGATTTATGTCAAAGAGTGTTAAATTACAGGCCAATATCACTCATGAATATGGATGCAAAAAAATCTTCAACAAACTACTAGAAAATCAACTCCAACAATGCATTAAAATGATCATACATCATGATCAAGCTGGATTTATCCCAGGGATGCAAAGATTTTTCAACATCCACAAATCAATCAATGTAATAAACCACATTAACAAACTGAAGAATAAAAACCAAATGATCACCTTAACAGATGCAGAAAAAGCTTTTCATAAAATTCAACATCCATTTATGATAAAAACTCTCCAAAAAGTGGGCATAGAGGGAGCATACTTCAACATAATAAAGGCTGTATATGACAAACCCACAGCTAACATCATACTCAATGGTGATACGCCAAAAGCATTTCCTCTAAGATCAGGAACAAGACAAGGATGCCTACTGTCACCACTTTTATTCGATATAATTTTGGAAGTCCTAGCCACTGCAATCAAAGAAGGAAAAAGAAATGAAAGGAATCCAGATTGGAAAAGAAGTAAAAATGTCACTGTTTGCAGATAACATGATACCAAACATAGAAAATCCTAAAGATGCTACCAGAAAACTACTAGAACTCATCAATGAATTTGGTAGTTTCAGGATACAAAATTAATATACAGAAATCAGTTGCATTTCTATATATTAGCAACAAAATATCAGAAAAAGAAATTAAGAAAACAATCCCATTTACTATTGCATCAAAAAGAATAAAATACCTAGGAATAAACCTACCTAAGGAGGCAACGGATCTTTACTCTGAAACATATGACACAGATGAGAGAAACTGAAGATGATGCAAGTAGATGGAAAGACATACCACATTCTTGGATTGGAAGAATCAATATTGTTATGTTTAAGAAGTCCCTCCCTACTATGAGTTTATAAAAATATTATCCTTTATTATCTTCTGGAAGAATTTTATGCCTCTCACATTTAGATCCTGTTTCTCTAGCCTTTTCACCCTATTAATAGTGTATTTTGTTGAACAGAGTTCGTAATTGTAATTTAGTCTTACTTTCCAATCTTTGGCTTTACAATTAGTATTTTTTGTGTTATGTTTAAGAAGTCCCTCCCTACCATGAGTTTATAAAAATATTATACTTTATTATCTTCTGGAAGAATTTTATGCCTCTCACATTTAGCTCTAACATCCAACTGAGTTGATTTTTGTGTAAAATGTAAGTAAAGAAACATTTATCTTCTTTTCTATGTGGAAATCCAATCGTGAAGTACCATATAATGACGGGACTCTCCTTTGTGCACTATAATATAGTGGTGTTTTTTTTGTAAATCAAGTGCACATGTGTGGAAGAGTTTCTGGGATCTCCATACTATTGCATAGGTCTTTCTTCTGCCAATACATCATAGACTTAATTGCAATGGCTTTCTAATACGTCAAAATGTCTATTTGAACAAATCCTTTCCACCTTGTTCTTCTTCATGTGTACTTTGGCTATTCTTAACCTTTGCATTTCCATATACATATTAGAACCAGCTTGTCATTTGTGCTGCTTCTTCTTTAAGTCACCCCTAAAACAAACCTGATTAGAAGTCTTATTGGAATTATATTGAATCAATATACCAATTTGGGAAGAATTACCTTTTTTTTATAACATTGTGGTTTTCCAATTTATGAACATGGTAGATCCTTCTGCTTCTTTAGGTCTTCTTTAATGTTTCTTAATAAAATGTTATAGCTTTCTGCCTGGGGGACTTGCACATTTTTAGGTAGATCTAGTCCATGATACTTTTAACTGCTGTTTTAAAAGGAAAGGTTTCAATATTTTAAGTGTGAATATAAGCATATTATTTAAGTACAATGTTTAATGTAGGCTTTCAAATGTTTTATGATGTGAAAGAAATTCCTTCTACTTCTAGTGTACAAAATGTTTAGTTCCTTAGTTACATCAATTTATGTTTTATATAGTTCAGTGCTATATAATTCGACATAAATAAAATTTTGTATCTTAATGATAGATTAAAACACTATTATGAAGCTTACATTTTATTTCCAATGATGGTTTTTTTTTTCCCTAAAGTTTTCTTTCTCTGATATTAATATCACTACCTTAGCATCCCTTTGGCAAATGTTTGCATTTTTTCTATCCTTTTAATCTTTCTGCATCCTTACATTTAAAATATTATGCCTATAAACATTGACTTTGACTTTTGAGGAATTTATTTTTTACATATAATTACTAATAGGTTTGTGTTTAAATCTACCATTTTATGAAGGGCTTTCTATTTATCTTATCTATCCTTTCAAACTTCTTTTCATTTGGATTTTTTATTGCATTTTGCCCTCTGTATTAACTTGGAGGTTACACACTCTTTTATTAGTCTTTTAATAATTTCCCTAAAGATTAGAACATATATCATTGCCTTATCAAAGTCCAATATTATTTAATACATCTACCCTTTTTATAGACAAGCCAAAGTTCTTAGTAAACCTGAACTCACTTAATCTCTTTTTTGGTTTATACACCATTCTTGTCAGGTATATTAATTCCCTCTATATTTAAACCTAAGACATTATAATTATTATTATTATTATTATTATTGCTTTTTCCTGTTAATACTCTTTTATATCCCCCCCCTAATATTTACCACTTTAATTGTTTTTCTTTTTTTCCTACATCTTCAACCTTCTGAGATTACATCTGTCTAAAGAATTTGCCTTTAGCTTAGGTCTGATAGTGACGAATTCTCTTAATTTTTCTTCGTCTGAAAATGTTTTTGAAAGGGTATTTTCATTGGATATATAATTCTAGTTTGGCAGTCATTTTCCATCATTTTGAAAATAGATTCCATTATATTGTGGCTTATTTATTTTTATTAGAAAGCCAGCTCT